CAAGTCCTTAGGTCATGTCATGTTTCATTAGTTTACATTTTTACTGTTTACTGGTAGGAGCTTTTTACACAGTCTGAATACTAATACTTTATAATAAAATTACTTCTCTAATTTTTTGAATTGTCCTTTTACTTTCTTGAAAGCATTCTTTGGGAGGGAAGGGAAAAGGGATTAAAAAAGAAACAAGCATGTATTATCTACATGTACCTACTCCCCAAGATGATTGTAAAGTGCATGTACTAGAAACATGTACCAATAAACAATTTGGGAAAAAATGCAAATATAAAAAAGAGAAAAAACTGTATTTTTAATTTTCTATATTTAGTACAGGGTTTCATCACACACATCAGACTTGTAAGGATCCTCCTATTTTTAGCCTCCCATGTGCTGGGATTACAGGCGTGCACCACCATGTCCAGTCTCAATCACTGTCTCAGTGTGCCTTGCCGGGGATTGAAACCTGGTCCTTGCATCTGCTTAAGCAGGTGCAAAACTCTGTTCTTTGAAGTATGATATGTTTTTCCTTGTTTATATTTTAGGTATTATAACTAAGAAACAGTAGTGCCACACTTAATTGTTTTATGTTTGAAACTTTTTTTTTTCGTGGTTCTGGGATGAGCTACTTTCCCAGCCCTATTTATCTATATTGGAGACAGTGTTTTGTTAAATTTTGCATACTATTCTTGAACTTGTGATCCTCCTAGCTGTCTCTCAGACAAAGGACCTCTATCTAGAATATATAAAGAATAGAAAAAAATCATTCTCCCACACCAAATTCAAAGACCCAATCCAAAAATGGGCATCGGAGATGAATACACACTTCTTACATGAAGAAATAGAAATGGAAGATAAGTATATGAACAAGTGTTCAACATCATTGGTTCTTCAAGAAATGCAAATTAAAACAACACTGAGATTACTATCTTACCCCAGAAAGAATGGCTGTCATCTAAATCAGCCAATATCAAATGTTGGTGGAGTTGTGAGGAAAAGGAAATCCTTCTCCACTGTTGGTGGGAGTGTCAGTTGGTGCAACCACTGTGGAAATCAGGGTGAAGATTTCTCAAAAAACTAGGACTGGAGGTCCCATTTGACCCACCTCTTCCCCTTCTTGGTATTTTCCCCAAATAATCAAAAGCATCATACCACAGTGATATATTGCACCCATATTTATAGTTGCACAGTTTTTAATAGCTAAAGCTTGGAAGCAGCCCAAACATACATCATTCAATGAATGGATTAAAAAAAGATTACTTATTTGTTTTGCACTGGGAATCGAACTCATGACCTTGTGCTTGTGAGGCAGGTGCTTATCCTGCTGAACTATCTCCCTAGCATGCTTTTAAAAATATAATGGTAGGGGCCAGGGAGATGGCTCAATGGAATAAGCACTTCTCTGGCAAGTGCAAGGGCCTGAATTCAATCCCCAGCTCCACCAAAACAATAAATAAATAAGTAAAAATAAAAATATAATGGTGTACTACTCTGCTATAAAGAAGGATCAATTTGAGACACTTATTGCTAAATGGATGGACCTTGAGACCATACTCTTAAATGAAATAGATTAGACACATGTGTAAATATTGCTTTGTCTCTCCAGTGTGAGCAACTGAAGTATAAAGAACCCACTTATACAAGAAATATGATGAAATGGGAAATATTCAAAAGGAGAGGGGAACTGCAGGAGGGGAGAGAAAAGGAAGGAATGGAAAAGAAAAAATGAGAAAAGAAAGATAAAATGGAAACAGAGTTTTGGAAATAAGGAGAGGGAAAGGGTTTAAAGGGATGGGAGGAGAATGGGAAGGGGAAAAGGACAGATCAAGTATATTATGTGCAGATACAAAATTCCTATGATGAATGTGATCATTGTCTATACCTAAACTGTACCAATAAACTTAACTAAACTTAAAAATAGAAAATGTATGTGTTCATAACAAAATTTAATGTGTCAATATGAAAAATTTGACTATTTGGTTAAATAAGAAATTTGATTAAATGTTTAGCCATAATAATTTGTTGAAATTTTATATAATTTTAATTATTTTTAAAATCTCTTTCAAACATCTGGATAATTCCATTTCACATTGTGGCAGTATATACACAATTATCATGTATTTTTTTCTTAATTTATTTTAGGAAGCATCCCCCTACTCTATTTGTGTATATAGGAAGGACAGCTGCAGGCCCTCACAGAGGAAATTCTACTCAAGAGAAAAATCTTAGTTGCATATTCATATCTCTCCTAGCATAGCTCAGGCTGGGAAATTGAGCTTTTTATCTCTGGATGCCTATTAGGCCCTTCCCACTAGAGAATTCCAAAATAAGACAGGAAGAAGGAATTCCTTATAGAACCGAGGTCCAGAGGGAGCCTATTTCCTAGGGAACAGGCAGTGACTCTGTTTTGAGGGTCAGACTGGAAGTCATGCTGGGGCTCCTCTCTAGGCTCCATGGCCAATTATGTTGAGAGCTGGCATCATGTTGGGGGGGACTGGATAGGAGCTGGAGGGACTGGAGGGACTGGAGGGACTGGATAGAAGCTAGTCTTGAATTCTTGAGTGCACATGCACATGTATGTAATAGGGCACAGTTGTCTGTTTTCCTTGTGCTTGAAGTCTCCATCTGCTATCCTCTCGCTGATAGCACCTTGGCACTGTGCACCTACATTTGTATCTGGAAATCAAGTTTTTCTCCAAACAGAATCACTGTGGCTCAGCAATGTGACAAAAGTAACAACTCTCCCAGGTGAGTAAAGCAGATGACTAGAAGCCTGGTTTGCTTCAATCGGACATCCTTGATTTTTTTTCTCCCAATCAGATATCCTTGATTCCTTTTTATTCTTTTTGAAAAAAACAGTAGGCTGGTGACAGATATGATGGTTCAAGAGTGACATCATTCTAAATCTGTTATTGTCCTGGATTTATAACTGGTGGTCAACTTATTATATCCAGCTGAATTGAAATAGCATGGTGCTAGGTGTAGGAGGCCCACCTGAGGATTGTTGCTAGCAGCATAAAAGGCAGAACAGGAAAAGTTGCCAGAATGTGGTTAGGGGTGCTCTTTAGAGAAGTTCTTGGAAGCTATTGGTTCTCCCAGGATGTTCTGCTTGGTGACCTTGTCATGCTAGCTTTTCAGATTAACTTGGATTTTTTTTTTTTTTTTTTCAGAGAAGGAGCTTGGGTTGCTGAGAATGGCTACAGTTCATTTTGAGGGAGTTCTGGTCCTTGAGCATTGCTTCCTGACTCTGGAAGATAGTGCACTGCTCAGCCTCCCAAAGAAGCTTGTGGGGTTGGCTTTCCTGATGGGAACTCAGCTTTCCTCATCGCTGGAGGAGCTCAGGACCTCACTGTTGCTGAGGATGGCTGTCATATGTTTGGGGAGCTCTGCTTCCCCCTGAGCATTGCTTCTTGGCTCCAGCTCAGATTCCTCAGCCTGCTAGCATAGAAACTTCATCCCATTAGCACAGACTTCCTAGCTTCCATCACTGATCTTTGGGCCTTTGTAGCACAGATCTGGGAAGTGGGCCTGCATGAGACTTTGCTGTGGGCTCTAGATCTCCAGTTGGACTTGTGAGAGGCACTGTTGTGAGCTTTAGGTCTTTAGCTGGACTCATACAGGATTTTAGGATCCAGGCCCTAAGTTGGATTCTTTAGTGTTTAGTGTGTGGACAGATTTTCTGCACTTGTATATGATTCTTGGGTGATTCCTTATAAAATATGTCCTGTATGATGTTGTTCCCCTTGCAAAAGCCCCAAACCATGATGCAATCAAGTCCCTTTCCTGACCTTCCAATACCAAGGTTTCAGAGATAGAGGCCATTCTTGCAGCTGTGATCCTGTTACCTGCTTTCTTGATGGGCCTTGCTATTTCTCCATCAAACAAGATTTCCTATCTCCAGGGTGAGAACCCTGGGGAGGGCTGGACTTCATCTGGAGAGTCTGAGTAGCCCAAGGAGTTGGGGTACCAAGTCCAGCACAATGTCCCAAGGCCGAATTCTACACATTAGATTTAGTGACTGAGTTGAGGGGGATCCCCTTGAGCTCTGTCCCTATACACACACGGGTACTCCTTAATGACGTGAGTGCAATGCACACAGCTTGGACCAGCCACCATGTCAACACCAAGGGAAAACTGGAGCTGCAGAACCAGTCACCCAGAGGGCGAAAGTAACTGACCGTAACAGTGAAATCCAGACACTGCTCCTGTCAACGGATGAAGTACAGCAAACCCAGGAGGAAGGACATCATTGCGAGCTGGCCTGGAAGAGTGAAAAGGCCCATGAGTCAGCGTCGAACATCTGGTCCAGAGAGCGGCTGCTTTGCACTAGAGAATCCGCCAGCGTCTATCATGATAGAAGTCTGCCTGAGGTTGATCGGGGACTGACTCGAAGATGGAGCGTACAAACCTGGTCCGGCCTCCCCGGCTAGTTTACAAAACACTGTTAACAGACAGGACCGTGGAGGAGACCTCTGACCAGCCTAGAGAGGCAAAACTCTAATGACCCCAAGGGCCCAGGCAGGGCTGAGGCAGTTGCATAGAAAAGGTTTTGGAGCATGGCAGTCTGATACCAGAAATTATCCAGAAGCCAAGATACCAGTATTATTGAAAGTTTCTAGTCGGACTCCTGAACTGCAGAAGCCTTTTGCACGTTTTCCGAGCCCAGAGCTTTCTAGCCCTGTCGCAGAGCGCAGGCAGGACCCTGTGTTTGTGCTCCTGGCTGCAGCTTGTGCAGGGGGCAGGCCTCCCCCAGGTCTGTTCCCTGCTGCCTTCCTCCCGCCCTGCTCGACTCTTCACCCGGGTCTGGGGCGAGGCCTGGGCGGACGGGTGACTCCAGTGCTGAGCGCTCCCTTCCAGAGTCCCCCGCAGCCCAGTCGCACGCGCGCAGCAGGGCAGACTCGAGGGCGCCGGTCCCGCACCCCGCGCGCTCCGCTGCTCGAGCTCCAACGCTCGCTCGCTCGCGGCCCATGCCCCACTCCCCTTAGCAGGCTTCGCGGCGGGGTCCTCCTGCGGTTAACGGAAACCCCACTGGGCGGCTGACTCCGTCTGCAGAGCCCGACCTGCAGAGCTGCCCTTTATGGGCAGTTACTTGAGCCGGGCTCGCCCTGGCTCGGGGCCTTCCACTGTGCCAGGCCCCGACCAGCTGGAGAGGCCGCAGAGCCGCGCACTCTTGCTCTCCGCCAGGCACATTTCTTCCGCTTTCCAGACTCACTCGCGGGCGCTGTCCCTGAGCTTGACTCGCAGGCTGGCCTGTGAGCATCCCTTGGCTTCTCCCGGGCGTCGTCAGCGCCGTCGGCGGCTTATCATCTTCCATAGGCAGCGAAGTTCGGTCCAGCAGGCTTGGTATGTGTTTCTGGGGGTCTTCTCCCCCGCGTCCTTGAGGGACCATCAGAAGAAGCCGGCGCGATCAGCTCCCAGCTCCAGGATGCTGTGCAGGGCAGCCATCCTAAGCTTGGCCTCTGCAAGGGGTAAACTCAAGCTCTGTTTGGCTCTAGAGCCGGCAGTCTTGACTCAGTGCCCTTCATGGACCGGCATCTTCTCAGTCCCCAAAGCAAAGCAATCTCGGCTGAGAGCCCTTGAGGAAAGTAGACCAGAGACAGCCAAGGAAGAGAAAGACCTCGCCTCCCTGGGAGACAGTAGGGAAAGGTTTACAATACTGGAGGAGAGCAAGACTGTCCCCAAAAGGCAGGAGGATGGGAGAACGCTTTCTGATGGCACCGAGAGCAACGGATCTGCATTTAGGCGCCTGATGGTCAACGGAGTGCTCTCTTCCTTCCTGCCCAGGCCTGGGCCTCTGAAGAGGGATTCCTGTTATGGGAGCTCAGTGAATAGTCTGATGACAAAATCCCAGAGCTGCTTCCTGAGCTCATGCAGCAAGCGCAATGCAATCACCAGTTCCTACAGTTCTACCCAGGGTTTCCCACTGCTGCCCAAGAGGAATGGTGCAGGCCCTGCTGAGCTCCCCTGCCCAGGCTCATCCCACTTTCTGGTGCCTGTAAAGAAAGCCAATCAGGAAGATCATCAGGCTAGCTCTTGTGCCTCCGTGGTACCACAAAGTGAAAGCCAGCAGGCAAAGGTCACAGATGCTCAATCAAGCCACCAACAAAACCTGAAGCATTGCTCGAATCCACCTGATCTTTCAAGGCCCCCCAAGCGAAAGATTCTTCTGCTGTCCTGTAGAAGAAAGGACCCAGTGATCCTGCCTCCACTTCCCCAGCTCATCTGTCATGTGACAGCTGAAGACATTGACTTAGAGAAGAGAGCTGCTATCCAGTGGATCAACAAAGTCTTGAAGGGTGAGACTCAGCACATATAGACTGCAGTCTTCTTCTGATTCTCACCTGTCTACCACAGTCACACAGAGCTGTCTACTAGCTCTTTCTCCTGTTTCAGCACTCATTTCTATCCAGAGAGCTTCTGGAAGATTCAGAAGCCCAGCCTGATGGCCTTCTCAAAACCTCCTGGCATAGCTGCCTCAGTGGGCTGTTGATTGATTCTTCTGGATGCTCACCTATTTGGTCTGGTTGTGAAGAAATAGGGTACTTTCCTTAGCCTACTGGGAGGTCTGTTCCCCAGTATTTTACTCCACACAGTGGGAGATGATCATGAGTCCAGCTTTGCTCTTAAGGAAGCCCAAGAGACCCACCCCCTCCAAGGAAGCTCCTGAAAGACAATGGTCCATTCTCACCCTCTTTTCTGCCAGGTGTACCTCAGAGGTTGGGTTACTGGAGACTGTTAGGCTGATTGACCCCAATGGTTAAGATCCTTGCAAGAGAAAGTGTATTAGTTATTGATTTGCATATGTTGAACCATCCCTGCATCCCTGGGATGAATCCTACTTGGTCATGGCATATAAACTTCTTGATTTGTTGCATTCTGTTTAAAAGTATCTTATTGAGGATTTTTGCATCTGTTAATTAGTGAGATTGGTCTATACTTCTCTTCTTTGGTTGGCTCCTGCTCTGGTTTTGGGATCAGTGTGTTTTTTGCTTTCAGGAATGACTTTGGGGGTGTTGTTTCCCTTTCAATCTCATGTAAGAGTTTGATGAGCAATGGCATTAGATCTTCTCCAAGTTCCCTGTAGAATCTAGCAGTTAATCCATCAGGGCCTGGGCTTTTCTTTGTCAGTAGTGTGCTAATTACATTTTCAATTTCATTGACTGATGTAGTGTTATTTAGATTTTTTTATATCTTCTTGATTCAGCTTTGGCAACTCATCTGTATCCAGGAATTTGTCCATTTCTTCGGTGTTTCTATCTTCTCAGAGTAGGTATTGATCTGATTTCCACAGGGTCTCTTTTGATTCCATGCTTTTCATTCCTAATTGCATGAATTTGAGCCTTTTCTTTCTTTTTGATAAGGTTAGCTAATGGTTTGTCAGTTTTATTTAATCTTTCAAAGATTCAACTCTTAATTTATTCTATAATGTTTTCTTGGTTTCAATTGCATTATTTTCTATTCTTATTTTTATAATTTCTTCCATCTATGAACTTTGGTTTGATTTGTTCTTTTTCCAGAAGTTTAAGTTTCAATGTTAAGTTGTTTATTTGACCATTTTACTTTTCCAATGTAAGAATTAACCACTATAAATGTCTGTCATAGGACTGCTTTCATTGTGTCCCATAAGTTTTGATGTGTTGTATTGGTGTTATAATTTAATTATAAAAAAGTCTAATATCTTCTTTAATTTCATTTGTGACCCCATTTGTTGTTCAGTAGGATGTTATTTAAGTTCATGTGTTTATGGAGTTCTTGTGGTTTCTTTTGCCATTGATTTCCAATTTCATTACATTGTGGTCCAATAATATGTGTGGGATACTTTCAATTCCTTTGCAATTACTTTTTTTGTTTGTTTGTTTTTTATTTAGCAGAACGAGGGATTGAACTCAGGCCTTTGTACTTGCCAGGCAAGTGCTTATTCTACTGAGCTATCCCCCCAGCCCTAACCCTAACCCTTTGCAGTTACTTAAGGTAGCTAAGTATATGGTCTATTTTTGATACCATCCCATGTGCCTTTGAGAAAAATGCATATGCTGATGTTATAGAGTGGAACATTCTGCAGACATCTACAGAGTTTGTTTATAGATTTAGTTCTGTTTTGATATTTCGTTGTTGATTTTTTGTCTAGTTGATCTATTTATTGTAATGGAGTATTAGGGTTCCCCATTATAATTGTGTTAGTGCTTATTTGATTTTCATGTATATTAATATTTGTTTTATATCAGTGGGTGCCTCTTTATTTGGTGCATATGTACTTATAACTTTCTCTTCTTCTTGGAGTTTTCCCTTAAGAAGAACATAGTGACCTTCTTTATCTCTTTTGATCACTGTTGGCTTGAAGTGCACATTGTCTGCAAATAGAATAACTACCCCTGCTTTTCTCTGGTTTCCAGTTGCATAGGGTATTGTTTTCCATCACTTAACTTTCAGTCCATAATTTTTTTTTTTTTTTTTTTTTTTTATTATAGGGAAGGGTCTACAGGGTGTTCAGTGTCTCACTACTTGATTGGACTCATAGTGATCTGCCTGTTTACAGCCTCCCAAGAGCCGGGATTATAGGCGTGCACCACCATGCCCAGTCTCAATTGCCATCTCAGCATGCCCCTGGGGCGGGTCCAGCATGGCAGGCCGGGGAATCAAGCCCCCAGCCCCTGTGCTTGCTTGCAGGTGCTTTAATCCACTGAGCTATTTGGCTGGCCCCTTATGAATTTATTTATTGAGTTAAATGTGTTTCTTATATGTAGTATATTGTTGGATTTTGTTTCTTGATCCATTCTGCCAGTATATTTCTTGTGATTGGTGAACTGAGACAATTTACATTTATGATTCTAGAAGACATGTGTTTTGTCATATAATTTTCCTGTTGATAGGTCCCTGTCTTTCCTCTCTGTTTAATTGCTTCCCTTGCCTGGTAGCTTCTTTTTATTGGTATTCTTGGAATTGTGGGCTTTTTTTTTTCTCTTTGTACATTATTTTTCAGAATTCTATGTAGAGCTGGTTTAGTGGTCATGAATTTCTTCAATTGTTCTTTGTAATGGAAGTATTTTATTTATGCATCAATTGTGAAGGATAATTTTGGAGGATACATTGATCTGTGTTGAAGTTGTTTTCTTTGAGGACTTGAAATACTTTGCTCCAAGTTCACCTTGACAAGAGTTGAGAAGTCTACTGATTCTGATGGGCCTTTTTAATAGGTGATTTGTTTCTTTCTCCTCAATAATTTTTTTTTATGATGTTAGTACTGGCTCCTGCATTTTCATTATTCCAATCTTATGTTGTTCTTCTTTGCATTGTTTTGCAGTTGTTATATTATTTTTTTCATGGTCCATTGATATTTTAAAGAGGTCTTCCTTTTTGTGGTTGCTAACTGAAATCCTATCTTCTAGGTCTAATATTCTATCACCATTTTCATTCAGTTCTACAAACTTTCAATGGAATTTTTAATTTCCTAGATATCTATTTCAATCTTTTTCACAGATTCCATTTGTTTCCTATGTTAGGCATTCATAGTTTCCATTATTTTCCTATGCTCCTCCGGTTTTTAAAATCTATGTCTACTCCATATTTGCTGAGCATGTCTTTTATCATGCCCTTAATTTCTTTTTTACCTATGAGTTTATTTCTGTTTTGCTGTCCTCTATAGCCTTGTATATAATACTTTAAATTTCTTCTACTGTCATTCCAGACAATTCTGCTGGTGGTTTGGTGAAGTTGCATGCCCTGTTCTAGTCTTCTTTCATTTAAATCAAGGACATTTAAAAATTGTCCTGTGTTTTCCCTTAGGTGACCAGGGTGTGTGTAAACCTTTGCCAAGCATGACAGCTATGATTTTGGCCATATTTCCTCAGCTTTCTCTTTTAATCTTCTACATCCTGTTTGAGCATTCAACATTCTGCTGAACACAGAAAAGGCTATTATCAGCAATTGGGTCATAGGGGTCTAATGGAGTTCCTGAGTATCTACCATCTGAGAATGATAAGAGGAGTTTGAGGGCTCCACCAGTGTGGTTGCTTTCATTAAGCAGGTGGGTGCAACCTGTATTTCCCAAAGAGACAAGTGGCCATCAGTGATATCAACTTCCTCTTCCTCAGGGGCCTCTTTAATTAGCATACTTTCTGGGATAATTACAAAAGCTTCAGAGAGAACTTCAGTTACTATACTTTTTGCATAAACAATCTAACTGCAAAATAGAATTTTAATTCAAACTGCCACACTTTAGCCATCTCTCCCCATTTCCAAATTTACACTGGACCAAAGCATATTTTAATAGTAGATATAAATTGTTCTTTTTTTTTTTTTTTGAATAGCTAGGTCAAATGTTTCACACTGTTGAAGGATTGCCTAAGGGCAAGATTGCTGGAATCTGTAGCATATGTTTTGGGATATTTATTATGGAGGCAGAAAACTAGGTCTGAGGTCCTGCATAGGGCATCCCCTAAGGAAGGTGGTAGGATTGTGAGTTCATGAAGCACCTTTGTGATAATCAAGTACTTACTAGGTAGATATCTCTGCTTGAAGTTCTGAAAATGTCACCAATGCTTTCCTAGAAGAGTGGAACACCCAATGGCTCCCTCAACCTTGGGACTCTCCAAGGTTAGTGGCCCACTGACTCATTAGGAAGGTGGAAGTTCCTAAGGCTCCATTAGTCACTTGAGAAAAAGGAGATCAGGGTGGAGCCCTTCTGCAGCTGCCTTGGCCACCTAGGAAACACTCATCCTGCCAATTGAAGGTGCGAGAGGAGGGAATCTGAAGTAATTATCTGAATTTTGAAACATGTAGCGTACCTAACTTGAGTCCCAAGTTCTCTGAAAGCATAGGTTTTGACTTTCACTTATAAGATTGAAAAGCTGAGAGGCTGTGTGATTCACTGAGCAGTTTTTATGCTCCCAAACCATAATCTCATGTCCAAACAACTTCTTAAAATTCTGTTATTTTGGCCAGTCAAATAGCTCAGAGGATTAAAGTGCCTGTTTAGGCAGACGCAGGGGCCAGGAGTCCAATCCCTGTGTGGTGGCACGCACCTATAATCTCAGCCCTTGGGAGGCTGTAAACAGGAGGATCACTTAGACTCTGATCTATGCAGTGAGACCCTGTAGACCCTGTCCTAAATACAAATAAATAAATAAATAAATATCTGTTATTTTATTTATATAGGCCTTCAGATTTTTTTCTATACAAAACTGAAACAACCTGTGTGTCTTGGCACCCTAGTGTTCAGCCTGCTCCTCATCTGTCATTGTCTCCTATATTCCTAGCCATTTTTTGCATTGGATTTGTGAACATAGTATTTTTGAAC